TGGTGGGTACCCACCAATTGTAAATTTTGCCAGGGTTGAGAAACACTGTCCTAGAGAAATGGCAGGATTATGGTGAATCATCCATACTATACATATTTGTGCATATGTTGCTATTTTTTGTAAATACATTCTTTTATCATCTTTACTGTACAACTTAAATGCAATGTAAGCACTTTGAAGCATGAATGGTGGAGGAATAGAAAAATTTTGAGGAGGCAGAAGAATGAGCAAGAGTTGGAAGTAAAGGAACTATGTAGAAAAATGGGGCTGGCTGGAAAGCTGAAAATCAGGATTGATACAAAGACTTTAGGCTACCAAGAAAGAGACAGAAGGAATGCTGAGAATGGCTTATTATCAATAAGCTAAGGAATTTGCTAAATGTTACAAAAGAATGATAGCTGGATATTGTAGGAGGAGACTGTGTTAGTCTATGGTGGCCAAAAATCAGGAGTCTGTTAGCATCTTTTCAGATCACTACATTTTATTAAAAGGCATAAACTTTGAATAAAATATCTCTGCTGAATAGGTGCTCCCAGAATATCTGGATGTGTCTCAAGAGATATACATTGACCAACAATTAAGTTGCAGATATACCATCAAATCTTGACCTCTGAACAAATCCATCATACTCTGAAAAAAGACCTTGTCTGTTGTACAAATGAGCGTGTATGAATACCAAAAGGAGCATTATTAATAAATAAGGATGTCTTTAAACATTACATTTTTGCATTGTTCTCAGATCTGGGTTGTTCAATATCTTTTTCTAATGATCCTGCAGTGCAGGACTGATCACTCTGATTTATATTCGGAGATAAGGGCAGTGAAATGGATTTGTGTGTCAACTCTGTGCATAACAATTCTGGGTCTGAGAGGACATCAGCCTAATTAATGAATGATGTTATGTTGTCTTCGCTTTCTACTGTCATTCTGGTTTTGCAGTAGGCATATTAAACTTGCTTTTAATTGTACCATAAACTTCCCTGGGAAATTATTTGAACTGGAAACAAAATCATAATACACCTGTATAAACATTCACATGTACTTATATTCAAGGCTGCTGTTAAGCATGATCACGAAACCCACACAGGAGATCATGGATGGACTTATGCCTATCAGCTGGTGGCCAGCTCCCAGCATACCAAATTGCTCTCCCCTTACCTCTCACACCGATCTCCTTCCGTGTGGCCCCGGCAATGCAAACAGCTGCCTGTCCGCGACTCACACTCCTCTGAGCGGCCATTACACTGGCACGGATGGCAGTTTGGGAAGCCCCAGTGACCAGGCTGGCAGTGGTCGCAGCGAAGCCCAAAGACACTTGGCCGGCAGGGACACTGCCCACTGAAGTTGTCGCAAAAACTGCTCAAGGACCCTTGGCTGCTGCACTGGCATGCTGGAAGGGGAAAGAAAAGTCATGTCTCTGAGGGCAGGCCCATGACAGTTGCCTGCTTGGGGCAAAGGAAGGCAGAGCATACCCCTTGCTCCAGAAACTAAAACAGATGGAATTAGAGGTGAATCATAATTTGATGCTGATTATAAAAAAGCATCCTCCACTCTACTGGAGAGCAGCTGAAGGATATGTATCAACTTCTAGCTGCTCCTCTTCCATTTGCTGCTCAAGGCACCTCAGCTGACTAGCAGGAATGGGAAAGGAGAGCCAGTTTGGTGTAGCGGTCAAGGCACTAGGCTAGAAACTGGGAGACTGTGAGTTCTAGCCCCACTATAGGCACAAAGCCAGCTGGGGATCTTGGGCCAGTCCCTCTCTCTCAGCCCTAGGAAGAAGGAGAAGGCAAGGGCAAACCACTTCTGAAAATGTTGCCAAGAAAACTGCAGGGACTTGTCTAGGCAGTTGCCAGGAGTCAAAAGCTGACTCGAAGGCACACACATTATGGTTGATATTTTGGAGAAACATTCAGCTTTTTCCCCCCCTGAGATAAGACTACCCATGTTTGGAAGCAGTTCACCATTGCCTTCATACGAATTGACTTCCCTATCTACCCTACAACTACCTACAACTACAAATCACCCAACCCTGGTGATTTCCCATCCAAGTCCTATCCAGGCCAGACCCCACCTGGAAACTAAAGGCCAACTAGGTGCTACCACCTGCTGAAACAGGATAAATATCCAGTGAATAAACTAAATAGAGTTGTACAACCCATATTCAAGTCCCTTACTTAACCATGGAGCTACTGGCCATCTTTTGGCAAGTCACTCTCTCTCAAGTCAGATGGAGGAAATGGAGATAAATCTTGTTTGGAAACATCATAATCAATAAATAAACAAATGAGAAAAAATAACAGCAGTGATTCTGGGACACAGCACGACATACAGATTGAAGTATCCATTCATGCTTGAAGAAGGGCTGTACCCTTGTCCTGAAGTTTCCATTGAGGACAAGTTCCCATTAAAAACATTTTCAGAAGTAGAGAAGCAGACAGGAGGGTGAGCTTCGTCCTGTCCTGGCAAGCTACTTGTCCACTCCAACATGCCCCTCCTAAATAATTGCCATCACCTCTAGTGGTATTTCCAATGAATGTTCAGGCACCAAGAACAACCAGCTCAGATCAACATTTCTGCCTATCAATTTGTTACCTTCATTAGCAGCATGTGAATTGGGCTGGGCTGGCAGGGACTAGTCTAGGCTTTAAGGAGAAAGGAATCTGAGTTTCACTCACGCTTGCAGCCACCAGGCCCAAAGCCAAAGGCGCCAGGAGTACAGCGCTCACAGCGACGGCCCATGACGTGAGGCTTGCATTGACACTGACCGCCATCTGGCTTGCACTCGAGGCTCAAAGAGCCCTGGAGGTCACACTGGCAGGCTGGTGACAGAGAGAGAACAAGGAGCAGAGAAAAAGGGTGGTGCTCTTTGTGATGAGCTCGTCAGTTTCTCCTTCCCGCTTGCATAGAAATGGGCCTAAGACCCAGTGAGAAAGCATATCCCCTCTCCACCATATAATGGGGAAATCTGAATGTGTGTGCCAAGGTCAGCCTTGTCTGTGCTTGCAGGCTACCACAACTGCACAAGAACAGCGAGGGCTCTTCCCCAGGGCTCAGGTGACTCACAGCCAGGAGGTTCACTCGCCTCCTGGCTGTGAGTCAACAGAAAACTAAACCGGCATAGATTATAACCCATTACCAACCCCAGCTGCTTCTGTTCTGGCTTGACAGCATCCTCATTTCTTGTGCAGGAAAGGCGGCCTTCCCCCACCTCCCTCCTCAACATCACCGGCTGGCAAAAAAAGTGTCTCCCAATCATAGCACTGCTGCAACCGGCAACAGATCAGCGGATGGCTTGGCCTGCCTGTGGATTTAGGCATCTGCCAGAACTTTCTACCTGCTTCCATTCCTGCCTCTCCCAGCTGGAAGTTCACCTGCCAGGCTGGGAGAGACAGCAGGTGAATGGAAGAGGAGGCTCTCTGCATGCCAGATCTATGAGCTGATCTCTGTCTTGGACCGAGACCCATAATAACAGCTGTCAGGGTGTTGGGACTGCACGAGCCAGATCCATCTCTGCTGCTTCCTGATGCAACTCCACCGTTCCTGTTAGCTGTTGCTCAGGCTGATTTTGAACAGAGTTTGAGCACTCTTCAAGGCTTTAGGGCTCTTCTGGAAAAGCTACAAACTTGCGTGCAAAAGCAGCCTGAACAATAGCTGGCATGCTTTGGGACTGCATCTGAGATAGCTGAGATCCAGCTTGCTCTCCCCCATTTCACCACACAGCCTTCCCTCTACCACTGATCAGCTGCTTTTCAGATTGCAAGCACAGTAAAACTGCTGCAGCTTATTAGCTGCTGAAGAGGAAAACTCTAATGCTGGAATTGTTAGAACACTAACGCTGGACTTATGGACAGCTTAGAGCTGTCTGGAGTGTGGTTCGGGAACAAGGTGAAAGCGATGTCACGGTGACCTCATAGATAAAAGCGGCTACCAGGACATATTCATACCATGCTAAGATGCAAGCGGGGAAGGCCCAGAGTCTCCAGGAACCATCTCTCCCATCCCATCAGGAACTCACGGCTTCACTTTGAACCTTCCCTGTGTTCCCCTGAGTGAGTGGAAAGGCCTGCCTAGTCATGATTTCTCTAGGTAGAGCCATGGGTGGCAGTGGAATCTGGGCAATTTAACACTCACGGAGTGCCCCCTGGTGAATGATGGCTGACATGCTGGTGAGCAAGCTGGCACAAGACTCCGGGGTGGGCACCTTAATCACAGGACGAGCCTGCTGGGCACAGCGGTAGTGCTCAAAGGTCTCTTTGCGAGCATTAGAGGCGGCATCCCCAGCAATGAACATCTCCAAGGAGGAGTAACGTGGCACCAGTACCAACTTCCAAGGAAGAGAAATGAGAAGGAGGGAGGGAGGGAGAAAAGAGGATATTGTTGGGTGTTTACAGCTGATTCCTCCAGCTATGGTTCTCCCTGCTGTGTGTGCCAGGGTGGCCGGTCCCAGTACTTACAGAGTCCAAGAGTACAGCAACACCTTGCAAATGGTCACGCCCTCCGTAATGGGTAAACTCCACCCTAATGGTGTACCTGATTCCTTGCTCTAGGCAGACTGGCTGTGGCAGCACAATGTACCTGTGGAATGGAAATGCCAGTTCACTTCAAAGAAGTTTCTAGCTCCTACCTCATGTATCCCCACAGCATCTTTCTGAATACAGGTGGTCCTCAGTTAATGACCACTTGTTCAGTGACTGTTCGAACTTACGACAGCACTGGACAAATGGTACTTATGACCGGTCCTCTAAGTTCTGGCTGTTGAAGTACTCCTGTGGTCACATGATCACGATCAAGGTGCTTAGCAACCAGCCCGCATTTCTGACTGTCGCAGTGTCCCATGGTCATGTGATCACAATTTCTGACATTCCCTGCCACCTTCCCACAAGCAAAGTCAATGGGGAAGCCTGCAGGAAGTCGGAAGTCATGGTCACATGAGGTCCTTGCTTAACAACCCATGGTGATTCGCATGATGGTAACCGGGGATTGCCGGAACTGCTGTCGTTAAGCGGTGCGTTCATGTGACATCGTGCTTTGCAACGTCGCTTAACGATGGAAATTCCAGTCCCAATTACCATCGTTAAGCAAGGATTACCTATACCAAATTTGCAGAAGAAGGCCTTCTTGCAGCCTGTACTATTGAGACGACTGCTTGGCATCTCTACCTCCTGCTACTTACGGGAAGAGGAGCAAAGGAAGGCAATGCTACTCCTGTTCATCACATAGTTCAGGCTTTTGTGAATTCCACATGCTTATTACTTTACTGCATACGCAAAAATAACATGATATACTGTATGTTCTGAAAGGCTCTAGTTATCATGGTTACAGAGAGAAATTTGTCTGGAGAATGTCATTAAATAAGAACATGACTTCCAGGAAAAACTGGCTAAGGCTTGGTTACTTGCTGCCCACTTAACCCCTAATCCTTACATTCTTTTTTCCAGTAGATTTCTGGTACTTTATTAAATATGGTTTATTATGTTGTTTATGCTTGTTTCTTATGCTTTAAGAACTTCAGCTATGGAAGCAGAATAAATTATGACAAGGGAAAACCATGCAAACATACTGAAGTTACTCAATTTGTTCTGGCACAGTTCTTTAGCGTCCGTGCCATCTTTTTAGGAAAACAAAAAATTGCACGCTGTTTTGAAGGTTAAGAATCTGTTAGTCATGCAATCCATTCTTCTTTAAAGTTGTTCTTTAACTGACACTGAGAGTTTAAAATATACACATCCCAGCCTCCTCATTTACTTATTTATTTATCGAAACAATGCATATAGCCACCCATCTTGCCAAGGTCACTCTGGCCAGTGTACAGAATAAAACCCAAAAAACAATAGCCCTTATAGTTAAAGCCAGCCTGGACAGCCTTAGATCAAACAGGATGGAGAACTGAGTGGACTTGATCCTGCCTACATATGCCTCAAAATCCATCCCTCTTAATAGTTCCCTTTCTCA